AAATGCCAAAACGAAACCAATAATCCTTCTGGGCAGATTGCTCTTTTGGACTATTAATTTATTTAAGTCTATTGAATATGAGATGAGAAGAAATTAAATTTTAATTATCTAAATTTTAACTGATGCATTTCTTCATAAGGCTACTCTGGACGTAGAGTAATTCGAACACTGATTGTATAATTAGGTTTTCTTTGTTTCAGTTTTTAGGTTTGCCCAAAAGGAAGTAATTAAGCCAAAGAATTGTTTTGGTCTACAGAGCAAAATAGTTAAATACAAAATAAATTTCAGTTTGGCAGAGCAGAACGGTTTTACTACTTCGAAACAGATACCAAATAAAATGATGATTCCACAACTTAAAAACAGGAAAAGAACTTTGGAACGATTTAAAATAAGAAATTTAAATTGAGAGTATTAAATTAAATGAAGCTTCTCGAAAGACAAAAAAAAAAAAAAAAAAAAAAATGCCATCCTTCATGTTACAGTTTTTGTTCTTAGAAGAGACATAATTCATCCTTCCTTCCATGAATTTAGAGGCTATTCAACCTGGTTGATTTAAAAATTTCGTATGACATATCAGTAGTTTCTGCCAAGACAAAAACCATAAAAAAGAAAAAGTCGCAGAGAGTAATTTTAACCTTTTGTTTTCGGTCAGTGAATCGTGTACAGAACATGTAATCCTTCCGAAGACATAGACAGGTCCAAAGGTGTTTTTTAATTAATTGCGTCTCACCATATGAAGCAAACGACATGCATCAAAACTAACTGCCTTTTGTTTTGGCTTCCGTATAGTTGAAAACATTGACCTAAAATGTTACCATTTATGGAAAGAATTAAAGAGAATCATGTTCGCAGTCTCTTTAGACAAAATTGAAAGACAAATCCTCTTATAAAATATTTGATGTGAACCCCGCATGACTCCCTTGTCATACCTATTAAGGTATGTGCCTACATACGAAGAGTGGGACACATTTTGAAAATCTGGTGACTTTTATTAAGGAGGACATGTTAATACATAAGTATACAATTTCTTATTTTTTTGTTTATAAAAAAAGTAGGCTTATCAAGAATTAATTGCAGTTACATCGGACAAAAGCATAAATGTTATGAGTGTTGGGATGTCATGCTTATCCATAATTGGTAATAAATCATGCTTCTTAGTTTTTCACAGTCGATGGACAATGAATCTGTATTTGCCATTAATATTATGTTATTAAGTCATGATCTAGCATTATCTGGACACATGCTAATTACAAATTTAGTATTCTACATGCAGATATGTAATTGGAAAGGGAATTTTACATTCTAAATTAGTCTTTTATTCTAAGTAATTATCCTGTAAAGTTATTATATGGTGGAACTGAAAAAGAAATTTAGTAATTGTACATAATTAACCTTTAATGTGATTTTTTTAAAATTAGAGTTTTTATTCACTTCTTTTGTGAGATGTGATTATGTTAATTAGCTTTTTCTTGTGATTCATCAATTACTTTTTACTCTGTTTTGTGAGATAGACATTTTTTTTTCTTATCAAATTAGACATAGTGGACCAAACTTATATTTAACCTTAAAATCATTATTGTGGGGTTTGATTGCATATTTTGCATATGTTGAATTATATATGTAGATTTGTCAAAGCATAATTTTAAACCAAATTGTATCATAGAGATAATGATTCATGAAAACTAGAATGGATAAAATTTACTTGCAAATTTGTATGTTATGGTATAAAATAAAAATAAATTTTATAGTAAGAAAGAGAGAGCCTTGTCATATTTACTTTGAAATACACATGGTCCAAAAGATATCTCAGTAAGGAGCAGAATATTTGAGTATCTAAATTTGATTATATTATAAATATTATGTAGGAAGTGGTCTAAAAATGATGTGTGGTCATTACAATTTTGCTTATTATATAGTACAGTACAAAGTCCGTAATCTTGACTCGTCGGGACTTTGGCGATTCCGAATTAGGGTTTTTTCCGGATTATAGATCATCAATTTAATTCTGGTAAGATGGCATGCAAAAATTATATAATTAAAAATATGAAACCCTAATTTATGACATAAAGAGCAAATTATGAGCTAAAGAGTATCAAAATTTACAAAAAAAAAAGCTTAATATTTATTTGTTTACTTTATTAAACATTTCTTTCATTGTAAGTTGTTTAAGTTGCTTCATTTTTTGTGCTAATACTTTCTCTTTAATTCTATAAATAGATATAATTTCTTGTTCAGTTACAAAGTTCCACTGTTCAAGTTCTGTAATTGCCGTGTCGAGAATACCGACTAACTTGTCAATCGAAATTTTTTCATTTTCGTTTCGTCTCTGTCACTTTCTTCACGGACATGTGCATTAAACGTGCATGCGTAAACGCATTGCGCACATGCATAAGTTTTGTAGCTTTGATGTCTGGATTATAGATCATTCCGGATAATGGACGTCCGGATTACAGACTTTGTACTGTATATGTTTCTAATGCTGATTGACTGAAATATTTGCCGCAGCTAATAAATTATGTCAGATCAGTTACATATGCTAATATTATATAAAAATTATTTTAGTATGATATTACTAAAATCATAGCTTTGTAAAATTCTTACAGATTCTCATAAAAGTTCATCATTGTGCAGTAAATGTAGCCGACACATTAATTTGCTCCGAAAAATATGATCAAAAACCCAGTCTTCCATTTGTACCTGGTAAGTAGATATTTATCAGCTGTAGATAGATATTTTGAACATTTTAATTCTTTTATATCTTAAGAACTGAGACCTTGAATGTATTGTCCATCCAAAGACATTTTTCTTTTTGTAACGTCTTTCATTTGATAAATTGTTGTTCATTTGTATTATGCTGTATTTAATGTCATTGTACTTACAAAAAGGTATTTTATGTGTTCACAGAGGATTTACGCTATATTTGAGTATATTTTATAAACATGTTTCATGATTCTTTAAACAGTTGTTTTATATGAAAACAAGGTTTTTTGATTCAAGTGAGTTTGACAAAATAGCAGGGAATAAAAGCAATTATTTTCTGTGTAGCTGATGTCTGTTGGAAGAAAGCATAATACCCATAGAGTTGAAACATCTGCCTTTCCCCCCTTATTGCCATATGAAGATATGATCAGCTATGATTATGTTTTTTTTTTTTTTTTTTTTTTTTTTCCAAATTTCCAATTTAATAGGGACAGAGATATTATCCCTTGGCCGGAAATGCATAAAAAAATACAATTTAAAAGTCTTATTTTTCATTGTGCACATGAACTTCTAACTGGTTCCTTTCACTAATTATAATGTATCAAGCATTATAATTAGTAAAAGGATTTTAAGTTTCAAAATTTTCAGAAAAGAAATTAAAAAAGGATCTGAAAATATTTATATAAAAGTACAAAAAGGTGCTATGAAATACTTTATTTGTTTCTAAAACAATTGTATTAATATTTTTACTCATTTTTTAATAAGTGTACATTGTAATAAAAAGCATTAATTATTCCCTATAACAAAAATATGGCTGTTCTTGTCTTTTAAGATATCTGTTGCATCATTGCTCAGTATTTCCAAATTTTGGGACTGACATTTTAAGCTAAAATAAAAAAAAAAAAAAAAAAAAAAAAAAAAAAATCTTTATAGTTGAAGAAACTTCTGCTCAACATTAACTGAAACCAACAGAGTATGTCTCATAGGAACAGGAAAGGGTGTTCAGTTTAAGTTCCAGAAGTTTTTACGCGAGTGTAAAAGAATGAGAAGAATGATGTTTTTAAATTTAAATCAGATTTTTATAATTTTTAATACTTTCTATCATGACTTTTCTGCACTTCTGTCAGAAATGTGAAAAAACATTTTCACGAGGCAAAGCAGTAAGTTGTAAGGTATATTTTAATTTTATAACAGTTATTTTAATTTCTATGTACTTTCCTAGCAGTTCTTGTTTCCATTTACAACTTCCTACTGGAATAAGTTTTTAGAATAGAGTTGAATGCAAATGAGTTAGAAGTAGTATTTAAGGAAGGTTCAACTTAATTTGTGAGAGAGAGAGCTAGGAATCCTGAGTAGCACGTGTTTGCCTTCGGGATAAGTCTGTGTAGAAGCTGTTATGCTTGGTCATATATTATGTGACTTCTAATATTTGCCGGCTAGTTTAAATTAGGGCCAGCTATGTTATGCTAAATAGTTGTTAGCTTCGGCTAAGTCTGTATTAGTTAATTCTTATTTCTTATTTTGAGTTCAAGCCCGGGTGGAGGTTTTGCTGTATGCCTGAGAAAGGGGCCAACTGTTCATTTTATTTTGAGTGGAAATAAAGGATAGTTATCCCTTATTAAGACTATAACTTCTGTTATTTGAACTCAGTGATAAGTTGCTTAACAGTTCACTAGTTTCCTCAACATTCATTTTAGAAGAAAAGAGTGAGGAACTCTACGAAGTTAACAAAAAATTACGTAGTCTTCCCACAGAGTGTCCAAAAATTATTTATATAGCAACCTGTGTATGCACCTAGTACATGTTTGTTTTGGTGGGTGTGTACTTCTGAAATGTTGATAGTTCAATATAAAGTTTTAATCAGTTATAAAAGTACACTCGTAAAGTTACATGCACATATGTACTAATAAAGAAAAATTTTAAAGTTACTAGTAATATCTTTTATATAATACGTATAAATAATCAGAGTAAATATAAACATAGGCACTTATGTCATCAATCTACATAACTTTTTCAAAACAATTTATCATATTTTATTTTGTAAGATACTAGCCTTTTACTGAAAGTAACTTGTGACTAGACCTAAATAAGACTCTAAGCAACTTATTGCTATGTCTTAAGAAGTATTACAGAAACTTGAGAAGGGTGTAAAAGGCCCTTTTATTAACAATTAAGTAAGATGAACAGAAGACACACACCAGCATTTCAGGTGAGAACCAAAAAATATTTTAAATTTTAAACTAAATCTCAATAACTTCTAGCCAAAGCCTTGTAAGTACATAGAACAATTATAGGTGAGAAGTTTGTACTCGCAGTATTTTAAACAGAACTTCAGGTAAAATCAGACAGTTTAACAGAATAGTAGAAATTTAAAAAAAAAAAAAAAAAAAAAAAGAGAAGCGTGTCAAATATTGATATTGATAGTTTATTAAATAAAGAGGCATGAAATCTGGAACAAACTTGGCAGGGATTTCCACCAACTTTCATCGTTCGGTGGTAGCTGACTTTCATGTTGATGAGATAATATCTAAATACCAAAATAATTTATTCATTGAACTGAAATTTATACATAGTATGCCTAGAAATATTGATATTTTGATGAATTTATAATTGTCTAGGTTAATTAGTTTAGGAATAATTTATATTGTATTTTTATGTGATTATCTCTGGATTTTTGTAGAGTCAGTGTTTTAGACATATTTTTAAAGTTTGGTCCATACAGGTATTCATTCTGTGCCCACTTCTTGGGCAGCTCTTTTGGCAGATAAAAGGTGTTATCAGCTGGCACTGAAGCTTAAAAGATTGATTTTTCATTAGAAAAATTGTATTTTTATGGTGGTTTATTCTTGACATGAGAGATAGAAATCTCATCTTTTTGTCATCTGGAGGAATGTCATAAATTTGACCCTTTTTAAATCAAATCTTTTAAAAACTTGGCACTTTCATCTGCTCGACAGAGGAGACTTATTCTCTGGCCAAACAAATTTCTGCCTCTCCAAAGTGCTTCTCTTTTGAGTGGTGTGGCTGTCATAGCACTTTTGTTGTGCAGCTTTTCTAAAATATCCAACAGACTATTTTTACCTGATATTATAACAATCTAGTGCAGTTTATGTCTAACATGTGATTATGTTATATGGTTGAAGTTAGGGTAATGACCTTTAATTGTTGGAAAGCTGAAAACTTAATGTGTTCAAGATGTATATTTATAGTTCATTAGTAATTTTATCATAAATGTCTCTTCATATTTGCTGACAACCTCTTTTATTTTCTTGAAAATATTCTCATAAAGTGGCTTTATGTAATTTACCGAGTGCTTACCGAGGGAATGTTTACTGAGTGCTGTCATTCTTTACTGGCCTTTGCATACTTCTTGAGAAATGGTTTGAATGCATAATAACTTTACCTGATGAACTAGAATTCTTGAATATGCTAAAATCTGCACTGAACTCGCTGACTAACTGCTGGCTTTCAACTCATCAAATGAAGGTAATTTACTTCTCACAAGACTTTTTCTGTATTGCTTTGGAAAATTTCGGGGCTACAACAATGCTCATATGAGACAGAAAGGTGCAGAACAGTTGAAAAAGAGGGGCTGTTAAAAAGTACTACACAATTAGTAAAAAGCTACAAAAATGATATAATAAAGCATTTCTATTTTGGCGTATTGATTTATTGTTATTATTGCAGTCAAAAGTCGTTAATTCGGACACCCATAATCCGGAATGATCTATAATCTGCACCTCAAAGCTACAAACTTTCTCCGCATGCGTCGCGTTGATGCTTGCGCGTAAGACCTTTACGGCTTTGAATATGCATGTGCGCATGCGCGTTTAATGTATAACGGACGGTATAAGCTAAGCTAAAATTATCTAATTCAGTTAGATAATTAATTCAGTTGAAGATTGCGTTGTTCCTTAATCTTCGAATTGGATACGGCTTATTATTTTTTGCAGACTGTTAGAGGAATTTTATAAAAGTAAGCTTGAACTTTCGACTATGTCAAATAGAATTTCCAATATATATTTACTAATATGCAAAGGATCTACAAAGCGAAAGTATGTTTCGAAGTCCATTAAACAAAAGTGGAATTGCAGCAAAAAATGACCTAACCATTCCGAAATCTGTTTCTCAATTTCACGCTGCTCTGCGGTGGGGGGAAACGCCGCGGCGCGCAATGAATTGGAAGTTGATCTGTCAGCACTATCCGTATCTTCAGGGCAGATGTTTTCATTTTATTTGGTTTATAATTCCTTACTAAATGTAGTATTTCATCTCGATGTATTCAGTTTTTGATATGATTTAAATCAAATTCCTTGTCATTATAATTTGCTTCCGATAGTGAAGAAAGTGACACAGAGATTATTGAAAACGAAAAAATTTCGATTGACAAATTAGTCGGTATTCTCGACACAGCAATTATCGGACTTGAACAGTGAACTTTGTAACTGAACAAGAAATTATGTCTGTTTATAGAATTAAAGAGAAAGTATTATCACATAAAACGAAGCAACTTAAACAACTTACATTGAAAGAAATGTTTAATAAAGTAAACAAATAAATATTAAGCTTTTTTTTTTTTTGTAAATTTTGATACCCTTTAAATCATAATTGTTCTTTATTTCGTAAATTACGGTTTCATATTTTTAATTTTATAGTTTCTGCATGCCATCTTACCAGATTTAAACTGATGATCTATAATCCGGAAAAGTCGATAATCCGGAATCGCTGAAGTCCCGAGGAGTCCGGATTAACGACTTTTGACTGTATTATTATTTTGCTTTTCTAATTTGCTCTGACAGACATGCCTCAATAAAAATACCTATCTTTTTGTAAAGGTGTTATATATTGAAACCCTTTTCTTAATTATATTTCGCACTTGTAAATGTAATAGGAGATTTTTCTACATGCGAAATAGTCATCACATAACTGTTATAGTAATTTCTTTTGGTACTTTTCCGTTTTGCTGGTGCAGGCGATAAAGTCGCCAGTAATGGTACAACTGTTGCCAAACGGAATATCCTCGCTGATAATTTCTTATGCCTCATTTTCAAAACGAGTCATAGCCATTTATTATCAGATTGATTGTTTTTTTCAATACTGGCATGCAGTTACATAGACGTTTTACCAGATAGTTAAATTTTCCATAGGCTATTCGCTGTCATTAAGTCAATTAGAATGCAATCACACTGCTCACCCGAAGGCGAAAATATAGAAAAGGCAAAGTCAAGGGTTTAATTCATCAATTTTAATGAGAATGCATTAGCGAAGTAAAGCACTGCAGTTTTACATAATTTCTGAGTAAGCTATTCGTACGAATTGAAATAATTCTTGCATATAAACTTGTATTCTAAATTAAGATTTAACTTCAAATTAATGTAGATAATTACTGAGAGAATTAGAATTTTGTAGCGTTCTTTATGGGAGGTGAAATCCTTTCGGGTCACGTGATACGAACCGGCGAATCGGGATGTTGAACCATGAAAGCATAGTAAATTCTTAAATTAATGTCTTTTTTTACAAATTTATTGTCTTTATTTATTGGCTTTTTACAGAATTTTAAACAATATTAAAATGTCTATGCCTTCAAAATAAAAAATTCTTGGAACTAACATTTGTTAAAATTTTTTTATGTGTATACTTTATGTTGTCGCCAATAAAGTCTGCTTGGCGCGATTTGTGCCGGCGAAATGGAAAAGTACCTTTCTTTTTTATTTCTATATCTCTAAGATTATACTGGTTGCTAAGATTAGTGAAGAGAAAATGTATGTATGGGTGTGAATGAGCTGTAAATGTATTGACTGTGATTAAATAGTGATATTAAAATTTGCTTCTTATTACTACTCCATGCTGCCCATAACACAAATTCTATGATCGTACTGTTCAGTATGCTAAATGTCACATTAGAATTTGTTTGCTGAATGAGGCCGTACTTTTTTATTTGGTTATTTCCCCCATCCTAACCTAAAAATTATATTTATAATTAGTTTTTCTGAAGTGCATCATTTTAGAGCTAATGAAGCGTCATACAATTTTTATATAAATTATAAGAGGATTGATTGTTCGAACTTTAAAGGAAGAACATGGTAAAAGTAACAATTTTCATGATACAGAGTGTAATGGAAGGTAAAATGTAAAAAGCAAAGTAATTACAAAGAACACAAAGAATGAGAAGTTATTTTAATGATGAACATTTATGGGAAACAGTGTTTGATATTTATAAGGGTTGTTTAAATGAAAGAGTGCCAACTGTATTGCCTGCATCACATGACAATGAAGTTTTTGGTGTATACTTGGAACATTAATGTACTAATGGTTTTCATTAAAAGGGACCAAGTATGAAGAAAATTATTATCCTCAGTATAACGTTTTTAATTAATATCTCTGATTTTACCTATTTTTTCTTAAAAAAAGTGGATGTTTACTTTTTCCAGGACCCAGAAAAGAATTGTAGAAAGTTTGATGATGATAGCTGTAGTAGTGATTGAGTTATTAGCGAACAAACACACACACAGACTTTCTCCTACAGATGTAGTATTAAAAAACTAATTTGTTTGGGATTAAAAAAAAATTTAATGAAAAAAATCCTGCACTAAAGCTGCAAAGGACTGAATTAAAACTACAGTTATTATTATTTTTTTTTAAAGGAAAACTGAAACCTGATTTCCTTGATAGTTATAATTCTAGTAACTTTTATGATATTTGTTATGCTAACAGTTACAGACAAAATTTCCTCAGATATGATCATCATAATTTCTACACCTTTTGAACTCAATCTAATATCTATATGTATTTATTTTATAAATAATGAGAAGGTAAAACTATGACATAATTGTCTTGGTTCATTTTTAGTTGGAATATTTGATGTGTTCTTTTGAATACTACTTCTTATTTTCTGGGAAAAATAATTTGTACTGTAGATTAACTGATTTAAATATTTTAAATAGTTTTAAATTAAAATTATTAAAGCTTTTATTTGATTACGGATTCATAAACCTGTTAAATTTCATAGTGTTTCTAAATGAATTTAATTATTTTTTGATGTAAGTTTATAAATATATTCAATTTCATAATACTATCTTCAGTTCTGTTAATGGTAGAAAACATGTAAGATTCTTTACTGTGTACCTTAAGTTACAGTTGAATATGAAGAATCTTAAGAACTAGTAAGTGACTAATCGCTTGAGTTCGTGAGACAGTAACCAAAGCTTGAAAAGGGGTTTGAATAATAAAGACCCTTTATTATTCAAATAAGGTTTAATAGAACTCTGTCTCGGAGTTGTACAATAAAGCCGGCCCTCGGGCTTGAACTTGAGAGACTAAGAACTAAACTAATCTTAACTAAAAAGATATAGCCGAAGCTATCAAACTTCTAACGGAGTTGGCCCCTTAACGCTGATTGACTGCAAAGCTGTCAAGAGCTAAAGCATGGCCGAGCATATTAATAGCTTAAGAGGGAGTAGCCTAAAATGGCGGATGCGTTCTGCTGCACTAGCTAGAATCTCTGGTTCTCTCTGACTAAGACAGCAGGACTTAAATACTGCTCTTCCTCATTTGCATTCAAACGTGATTCTAAAACTACATTCCGGCTGGAAGTTGTAAGTTGAAATTCAGAAATGATAGGAAAGAAAGTTTAACTCAAAATTTAACTGTTAGATAAATTAACCCCTTAACTGCCGCGGAAAACGTACAAGATTCATTTCCCAGTGCCATGGTTTTTCATACAGGCGTGCGTAGTTATGCGATGTATTAGGGGGAAAATAAGTGCAAGTTTTACTTTCTAAAAACTCTTTACTTTCACAAGATAAAGAATAAAGAAAAATGAATGCACAAAATTTAATGTTTTGAGTAAAAGTATAATAAAAATGATGTTTTTATAATAAAAAAGATCCCTTAAAATGGAGTTTCGATCAATTCATTTTTAGACAAGTAAGGTGTAATATCAGGTTTCAGTGTTGTACCTTGTGAAATCAGTATGCCTAAAAAAACATATATTTCTTCCAAACTGGTTGAATGCCACGATTTTGTTCTTGATTTTTCGTTTGCAAGGAGTTGATTCATATACTCGTCTACAAAACGTTAGTTTCAGTAACAATATGAAGCATGAGCAGTTCATCAAAAAATAATTCAAAAAAGATCAATGGGTTTGAAACATCCATTATATCTTTCTTTATTCCTGCAACATTCTACAAAAAGTAAACGAAAACGGAGGACACAGAATTAAAAAAAAAAAAAAAAAAAAATGTTTTCTCAAACAACACCAGCCAATACTGCGCAGTCATTACTTTCACCGCTTTAGACACACCCCTCTCTCCAATTTCTCCCCACACTTCTCTGAAATAGTATCCTCCTTCACATGCTTGTCAAGGTCACTGTGGTGTTGCATTCCAAAGCTTTGCGAATAATTTTACGGGTAGCAGCGCAAAGCAAATGATAGTATTTTGGAAGGGCGTATATATACGCTTGGGGCAGTTAACGCATTGGCTGAGCAAGGTGTATATATACGCCACGGCAGTTAAGAAGGTTAATATGTTCCTTACAAACAATGTACTTAAATAATGCCTTATATCATTATCAGTGATATATTTTGATTTTATACATTGGTTTATTTGAATTTTTATATTTATATATATATAGGTTATGAATTTTCTGGAGAAGTGCTGCAGGTTGGCTCCAAAGTGAAGAATTTTTATGTTGGCGATAAAGTAATTGGTTTGAACAAAGATAATTTTTCTGCGATGGCTGAAGAGTGTGTGTCTGAAGAAAGAGTGGGTATTTTTTTATGGACTTAGCAAATTAATTTTTTTCCCAAATATTACTTTGCTGTGTTTAAATGTATTTTCCTCAGTTATTCTTATTTTTTGTAATTTTTCAGTTATCAAAATACAGTCAAAAGTCTTTAATCCGGACTCGTTGGGACTTCGGCGATTCCGGATTATCAGTTTTTCCGGATTATAGATCATCAATTTAAATTGGTAAGATGGCATGCAGAAATTATAAAATTAAAAATATGAAACCATAATTTATGAAATAAAGAGGTTTATCAAAATTTACAAAAAAAAAAACTCCTTAATGTTTGTTTGTTTACTTTATTAAACATTTCTTTCAACGCACGCATGAATAAAGCATACATTATGCATAGTAGAAATTAGAAAATTGCATCCAGAAAACTATTTGATGTGTATTCTTGAATTTATAATGACAAGGAATTTGATTTAAATCATATCAAAGACGGAGTACATCGAAATGAAATACTACATTTAGTAAGGAATTATAAGCCGAATAAAATAAGTACATCTGCCCTGAAGATAAGGATAGCGCTGACAAATCAACTTCCAGTTCATTGCGTGCCACGCTTCCCCCCCCCATCCCACAGAGCAGCGTGAAATTGATAAACAGATTTCGGAATGGTTAGAAAACAGAAGGATATGCCTTTATCCATTTTTTTGCAGCAATTCCACTTTTTGTTTGATGGACATCGAAAGATGCTTTCGCTTTGTAGATCCTTTGGCAGCTCCAGAATCGGAAATTCTTTTTGGCATAATCGAAAGTTCAAGCTTACTTTTATAAAATTGCTCTAACAGTCTGAAAAAAATAATAAGTCGGATCCAATTCAAAGATTAAGGAACAACGCAATCTGCAACATTAACTGAAGTAGATAATTAGATAATTTTAGCTTAGCTTATACCGTCCATTATACATTAAACGCGCATGCATAAATGCATTATGCGTTTATGCATGTGCAGAAAGTTTGTAGCTTTGAGGTCCGGATTATAGATCATTCCGAATTATGGACGTCCGGATTAAAGACTTATAAACTGGACTGTATAAGAGAAATGAGCACTTTGAAATATGATAATAGCAATTATAAAAATGGAACTTTTTAAAATGTGTTATCTAATTTTCAGACTATAACTGTTTACTCATTCATTGGCTTGTTTGTTTCGTGTTCAAAATAAAAATGAATTTAGTACAGAAGCCTGTTTTACATAAAGCTGTGTAAATTTAGACTTTTAAAGTGAGATACTCTAATAATGTTTTAAATTTAGGGAGTGGATTTAAAGATAAGAAAACTTCCATTCAAGATAATGTCACCATTGTAATTTAAAAAACTGAATTCTTGACTGTTAAAATATGTCTCAATTCAATATTTCAAATTCCATTTCCGAAATAAAGCTATAACTCGCTACTATATGAGCCACATTTAACAGGCCAAAGAGCTGTATGTAGCAAACCACAGTTTGGCCATTTTTAGTACATTCAAAAAATTAAGTTAATAATAATTAAGTTGCTTAAAACCGTAGTAAATACGTTTTTAATATAAAACTTAATAAGTAGGGAGTAAAACTGTCACTGTGCTTTTAATTGTTAGGTTGTACATATAAAATAGCGTTTCAGAAGTGCAACTTGATTTTATATTTGTGCTGGTATAGTAAATACAGTAAGTGAAATGCTGGAATTTGTTTAATTTGTAATAAACGATATAAATTTAACTTAATGTATACTTTTTAATAAGGATCTGTGGAAAATTCCTCAAGATGTGGCTTTTGATTCTGTTGCTGCACTAGTTGATAGTTATGCTACAGTTTTAATAGCTGCTCGGAGAGCCAACCTTTGTGAAGAGTAAGTAATATATTTATTGTTATGTGTGTACAGATTCATAATAGATTGAATGCACACAGAACTGATGATAGCGTGATAAAAATCTTTTTTCCAGAAGAAGCACTTTACAGTTCTGGAACTTAAAAGAACTTGTACAGCTCTTCTCAGTATAATGGAGCACAGTAGTTACCACTTCAGCCTAGATAAACAGAACACAATGCAAAAGCACATCTAAAGCGTGATACTTGCATGCAAATCTCACAATACTCCAAAGTCAACTCTCAACTAAATTCTGAGAACTGATGCTTTCTCTTGGCTTGTATAGTTTATCCGTGCCCACCAAGGAATCTCTAGTACCTTGCATTCCTCGAAATTACTGGAAGGCATGCACGGATAAAGTTACATATAAGGGCCAGATACAGTTACACTTACATACAGAGATCAATTACAGTTATGCAGTTACAGTTATACAATGACCAGACCAAAATTTCGCCAATTTTACCCACATCTTACAAATTTAGCGAGATAGCTATTTACCTAATGTTAAATAGACTTGTTCCTGTGATCTTATTTTTTCGGCACAGCTTCATTTTCTTAAGCCTCATTCATGTTACATTATTAAAAATTTCTAACAATATGTATAATTGCATGTCTTATTTTTCATCAGTGGGAACTAGACATGAAGAAAAAATGGTACTTTTCCGTTTTGCCGGCGCAAGCGATAAAGTCGCCAATAATGGTACAACTGATGCCAAGCGGAATATCTTCACTGGTAACCTTTTACCCTTCATTTTCAAAACAAATCGCAGCCATTTCTTATCAGATTGATTGTTTCTTTCAATACTGGCATGCAATTACATAGAATTTTTACAAGATAGTTAAATTTTTTGCCCTAAGACTATTCACGGTAATTAATTAGGATGCAATAACACCATTCACCTGAAGGCAAAAATATAGAAAAGGCAAAATCAAGGGTTAAATTCATCAAATCTAACGAGAATGCACAAGTGAAGTAAAGCACTGCTGTTTTACATAATTTCTGAGTAAACTATTCATACAAATTGAAATAATTCTTGCATTTAAACTTGTATTCCATAAGATTTAATTTAAGATTTAACTTGAAATTAATGTAGATAATTACTGAGAGAATTAGAGTTTTATAACATAGTTTACGTGAGATAAAATCACTTGGGGTCACGTGATATGCACCGGCGAATCAGGATGTTGACCCATGAAAGCATAGTAAATTCTTAAATTAATGTCTTTTTACAAATTAATTGTTTTTATTTATTGGCTTTTTACAAAATTTTAAACTATATTAAAATGTTTATTCCTTCAAAATAAAAAATTCTTAGAACTAACATTGGTTAACATTTGTTATGTGTATACTGTATGTTAAGACACAATAACACGCCGAATAAATACTAATTCAGAAGTTAAACAACAAAAATCAGCATTATATTTTCAAAATTTTCACAGGACTAGGTTTTGCAGCTGAGGTTGGTGGTTCGGTAAAACCATCGAAACTAGTCCTGTGAAAATTTTGAAAATATAACGCTGATTTTTGTTGTTTGACTTCTGAATCAATACTGTATGTTGTTGCCAATAAAGTTTTCTTGGCGAGATTTGCGCCGGCAGATTTTAGTTTGACATCCCAGAAGCTAGCCTCCTGCCCAAAATTAAGGATGTAATACATAAAATTTCATATTTAAAAAAATCATTTCTTCAAAATGGTGGTGGAAAAAAACTGTTATGATATTATTTCATTGTAAATGAATGCTTTATATCTTATGCATTTATTTAATAAAAAAATGGGAATTATTCAAGACATAGCTGCACATTTATTTTACTAAATCATCTGTGCACGACATTTTTCAGTTTTTTCTTCAAGTGGTAGAACTTTTTATTTTGTTAGGGCACAAAATCTACTAACCAAAAATAATAAGTAATTCTTCAAAGTATTTAATAAGTTTGTCTAAAAAAAATACAATATTGAGGAAGCAATTTTTTTTTAAAACTTTTTTAGCAGTTAATTATCTAGAATTTGATATAGTTATTGATATCCTGAAGTTGATATAATTCCTCTTTGAAATGCTGGGTGTAATACTTCAGTTTTGTATGCACAAGAATATATGGAATAAGTCTGCCTTTTATAAAATCTGGAGGATCCCAAATGACAAATTGAATAAGCGGTAGGAGTATAACTGTGTAATGCTGAAAGCTGAAACGTTGCTTTTGCGACCTATTTTGCTCGCTTGCAGAGTCTTGATAATGATCTGTTGTGAGAAGAGTTGCATTTATTTACTTAGCCCCTGTTTGCTGTTTTATTTAATCTCCAAATTACTATCGCAGTATATTTTTCTTTAATTCTGTCATGTATTGAAAGAACATATTCTTGGGCAATGCTAAAATATTGCATTAAAAAGTACAGTAATTAAGATACAATAACATGCCAAACAAATATTGATTTCGAAAGTAAACAACAAAAATCAGCTTTATATTTTCGAATTTTCACAGGACTAGTTTCAATGGCTTTACCAAAACATCATCCTCAGCTGCAAAAGTGCAAAAAAGAAAATTGTGGCTTTGTGGGTATCAATGAAAGCTGCCCAGTGCAGTCTTCAAGTATAGCTAATGTTACTAGAGCTCATCTGATCTTTGTGAGGAACGTTTGCATTTTCTGCTTCACATAAAATAAATGTGCAGTTACATTTATGAAATGGGAGGGGGGGAACAAACCACCTGGGAAATGTTTTATGAAACATTGTTGTAAAAGTTTTAGGGGGCAAGTTTAATTTGACAGGATGCCATTGATGTGCACTGTGGGGGGCGGAAATTCTATATCTCTTCTACTGGGCTGATTGATGAAATTCAACTTGCGTTTTTCATGTCTTGAAAGCACAACTTAGGTTATGTATTAGATTTATAGATAGCATTATTTTAATATAGGTATTTTGACACAAAATCTTACTTTTTCTGAAAATGACAAGCTAATTTTTTTCTATATTTTAATTTTATGCCTCAAATTATGCCATGCTGCCAGGTTTTGTAAAAATCACACGAGTACTTTTTTAAAAATTAGCTCTCAAAATTTTAGCTCCTCAATGTTAATTGAATTCGATATATATTTATTAATATCTCTTTTTATTAAACTTACTTGATTCCTTCTTCCAGAATTCGAAATTTAGGCTTAATCCAATATATATTGCACATTTTTTTTTTATTATTTATTTAAAAATATTTTTATAAATTTTTCAAAAAAAAATTTGTATTATAACCTATAAAATTTTTAGCATCATCTTAAAGTAGATGTATTTCTAAGCATATCTGCAGAAAATTAGAGTTTTTATTCAAAATTTCGTAAGATATACATGAATTTACATTTTAGCGCGTTTTGAAATTTGGCAGCTTTTTTTTTGGAGCAATAATAACAAAAATGTGGTTTACGCACTTAGTTTAAATTATTTGAAAGAATGAACGATAGTCTTTTTTTTCTGTCGTGCATCAATGCAAAAAAAAAGTAAGTAGGTTACTATAAATTAAGAATTCCACCAAGTGAATTATTCTTGATGCAAACTGAAAAAAATAAAAAAAATAAAAGTTAAATTTTTAAATTTCTCACCAAAATTTACAAAATTTAATATCTGCGCATAATTTGAGTCATAGAATCAAAATATGGAAAAAAATTGATATGTTATTTCAGAAAAAGTCTGATTTTGTGTCAAAATACCTCTGTTACAATAATGCTACATATAAATCTAATATATATCCTAACTGATGCTTTCGAGACATGTAAAATACAATTTGAATTTTGTCAGTCCGCCCAGTAGAACAGGAGATACAGAACTGCCCCCCCTTTTTTTTTATGCAGTGTACATATGCATTTATTTCCCTCCTCAATATTTATGTCATTAAACAAGCAATGCATAACCTACACTTTAAGAAATGGATGCTGGTTATATTAGAACAAGAATATACTTTTACCAAGCTGTTACAATGGTATCATAGAAATATATAAAAATAGCCAGTAAACAATCATATTTATTCTTTTCGGAGGAGCAACAGTCTGAAGCAGGAAAAGCAGCTTTATGCCACTGAACTTCGTATTTGGAACAGCAAAATCTGTTAAGTAGCATTAATTTGATATTCTGCAGGCCTCTACCTATTTTACAATTAATCATGATTCTTCATTCTGTAGCTCACCAACTTTGCTCAAAAATCTATAAATATCAGGCTCTGCTCCACTGTAACCAATGTCTGCCACTAGTCAATTTAACATGCAGTTTATTTGCAGCAACTTGGGCCATTGTTCAGAATGTTTAATGATCTATTATCATTTCCAGTTTTAAATTTGTTATTAGTATTTTTTGCCATCGATGAGTGGTTTTGCCTACTATCTTCTACAACACTTTTTGGCATCTCCTGTCAGCAGGCATTGGTTTTATACTACAGTGATTCCTGCATATTTGTATTTATATTTTTTCACATACAGTGGAAAGAGCATATACTATGTAAATCAAAATTTGTAAATAGATTTTCTGTAACTGTAGTGAATAATTATTTTAGACCTCACCATGTTTTTCATATCTAGCAATTTTCAAATAAGTTTATAGACTGACTTGTAGCCTTTTGCATTTTTGTGAGTTTTTTGTGCAAAATATATGAATGAAATCACTGTTTGTAAGTTATGTCTGGATGCTTTTGAGGTGCATCCTATATGTATTAATTTGATAAATTATGTCTGTAATGGATGCAAAAATATTTCTGTTGACATAATTTTTTGCTTTGCTTACGAATATGTAGTAGTAATATTTATACTTCATTGTTATTCATATTATGTGCTTATTCATAATTTATAATTAAATGCAGGTGTTCTTGCATGTGATTGTAAATTATGAATAATATTTTACTATATGCCTTCATGGTCACATCCAGCAGTTGGTGAATTGGGAGTTCTTGGAGAGAGCATTGCACATTTTTTATGCTTCCTGCTTCAGCAAATCTAATGACTGTACAGGTGATGCCAAACTAAAATGTGGTGTGCAATAATTTGCCCACCACATTTTAGTTTGGGCGTCACCTGTACAGTCACAAATTTGTCAAATGATATGCCATTGCTTTGTTGGCAACTGAGATCCCTATATCTAACCCCTTGTGATATTTTCCTCTGGGATTTTGTTAAAGAAAAAGTATTCATGCCTCCACTTCCCCAGGACAGCAACTGAAACAGTGGCTAAGTGAAATGCTCGAATCATTAAGAAAGGATATCTATCATGAGTGTGGCAGAAACTAGAATACCCCATAGATATTTGCGGTGTCATCAGAGCGGCATACATAAATTTAATTTAACAAAATAAAATAGTATGAAACACCATATGTATATGTGAATAGCTATTTGTTTTAACTGAGTTCAAAGGATACTAAATTTTCATAAATATATTTTTATAAAAATACATTGTACCATAAAATGAAGAGAGAAAAATAGATTTTTAGATTTAGAAAGAATAATTACTAGATCATTTTAAAACGGGTGTATTTTTGTAAGAATTAAAGAGTTTTTCCTTAAAGGAGATAAAGTTTTATAAACATTCGTTCTTGCTAAATACTGCTAATAATCTGAGAATGTAAGATTTTTTCACAGTTTCTTCTTAATGTCACATACCACTGAAAATAAAGAAATACACCGAACAATTCAAAATTTACTAATTTGCTTCTTAGTAAATTTTGAATGCCAAACTTTTAGAAATTTAAAAAAAAAAAAAAAGTATGAAAACTTATTTAAATTTTATGATCTTGCATGTAAATATTTTTAACAGATTTAATAGAATATTGAACTAGTAATACTAACCATAAAAGTGTAACTATTTACACTCATCTCTATTATAAAAATTGTTCATTTTAAAGAAAACTATATTTTATTTTTGTTTGGCACACAAATGTTTTTAGGGATGAAGTTCTTGTGACTGTTGCTGCTGGAGGTCTAGGACTGGCTGCTGTTGATCTTGCTTCAAATTTATTTAAAGCAAAAGTAAGATAAATTTGTATATATTATATATGTAAATGTACTTAATGATATTTGAATCTCATTACTTTGCTTAATAAAAATTGTGTTAATAATACTTACTATCTAAAGAAGAAAGATATATTTACAAATTGGGATAAATTTTAATTTTAATTATGCTCAGGTGATTGGTGCCTGTGATACTGAAGAAAAAGCAAGCATCTTAAGGGAGAAAGGAGCATTTTCTACTATCAATTATACCAAAAAGGAAATAGCAAAAATTGTTATGAAGGAAACTAATAACAGAGGAGTAAAAATAGTTTTTGATGCTGTTGGTGGAGATGTGTTTGAAGATTGCTTACAAAGGTAATTTTATTTATTGTTAACTAGAATAAAAATTCAAAAATCTTAATTTGATACTGAATTTGTAGATGTTTCAATTCTGTTAAATTGGGTTTAAAAACTAATGATTGATTGTCACTTAAGTAAGTTATTTACTTAGATAAGTATATTCCTTAGGTTATTCAATATGATAATGTACTTAAGATCTATGCAACTAGATGTGAGATACTTTTGATTGTGACTTAGAAAATATATTCTATGTGCACATAGAAAAACCAAGCCTGCCATCTGTTGGCAGTTGAATCAAGGGTGTTAGAGAGTGAGATCCGTCGAAAGAATGATGGACTGTAATCAATTATAAAATTTTATTCATTAATAAAAAGGCACAGGGGCCTTAAGTATCAGAGCTGTATGTTCTTGCTAGCACTGATGGCTATTACAAAAGATGGTGTAGGAGCTTAAAGAAACAACTGCTCTGCTCGCGGTCTACAGAGATTCTGCTGGTTAGGGGGGTGCGTTGCAACGCCCTCTAGTAAGATGAATGTTACAACAATAAGATGGGACAGAACAAAGGGCACATCTACTAATAATTCATGTCTCTGTAACTTGCAGCTATTGATAGGACAGTAATATAAAAAAGATCATTTTGAAGATCAATTTTTAATCTGTTCTATTGCAGTCATATTTGGAACCTAATTAAGAGTGCAGCTATTTGCAGTAGTTCAGTGGTTTAAACTAACAGGTTCTGATACTGATACTGAGTTACCAAATCTGACAATTTAGGTGGGAGACTCCTGACCATACTCATGCCACTCTGATTTACAACATATTTCTCCCAAATTTCTCTTATTCTTGGAGCAATTACTATGCTGTTAAGAAATCTTAACACCAGAAGGGGTCTTTGCAATGGTACAAGACTAAAGGTTCTCCAATTGAAAAATAATGTCATAATAGTTAATTCTTTGACTGGCTCCTCTAAAGGTGAAATACATGTCATTCCAAGAATTGATTTGGCTCCATCTCAAACAGGGTTGCCGTTTGAATTGAGACGTAGACAATTTCCTGTAAAACTTGCTATGAGCATCAATAAGTGTCTGGGCCAAACGCTTAAGCTTGTTGGCATTTTTTTACCTGAGCCTGCATTTGGACGCGGTCAACATTATGTTGCCTGTTCAAAAGTTCGTGAAAGAACAGACATAAAATTAAAAATAATGGATGGTCCTCTGCAAGGCGAGCTTAAAAGTGATGGAAAGATCTAAACAAGAAATGTTGTGCACAAAGAGATCTTTGACATGTGAATTAACATTTTATTATTTAAATCACCTTTATTTATTGAGCTAGCGGTGGCTCTTAAGATATGTACCACCAGTGGTTTCCTTCATTGCACTCTACTTTAAGCAATTAAGCAAGTAGAAGAGGGAAACCCCGTAGGGCAGTAAGCAAAGAGGCATCCTAGTTGCCTGCCCTAGGTAATTCAGTTTGAAATAGCAGACACCTTTGCACAAATCATTTTAATTACAAATTATAATATCTAGAACAGCTATCATTTCGTATGACCGCCGGGCTTTCTAGTAATATGATATGTAAAATTTATAGATATTTGTATATGCATATTTCTTTTCAGAATCACTTGTTTCAGTATTTTTATATCAATTGTTAAAATTTATGAATGACATATTATTTTGATTTCTAAGTTTAGGCATTTCTTTTAATAAATCACATTTCATTTTACAGCATTGCAGCTGAAGGTTGCATTGTCGTTCTTGGATTTTCATCTAGGAAAATACCTCAGATACTTACAAGTCAGTTGTTGCCTAAGTCATGTGCCCTTATAGGTGTTTCACTTACACATTATCAAAAGATGATTAATGAAACTTATCGAAGTACTGTTCAAGAAGTCATAGACATGTATTTAGAAGATTTCATAGATCCACATATTGCAGCACACTTCAAACTGAAAGATGTAAGTATTTAAATATATATAGAATTTGTATTTAAATCATATGAGCATTTATGTTAATATGTGTTTGATGTATAATTAAGTGATAGTGTTTCATTTAAAGCATTATCATGGCACTTTTTGTAGGTAAACATTGTTCTTTCTCCAGATGCAGTAGCATTTAAAAATTCTGCTTATTGGTCTTGAAACAAAAACTTATTTCCTTTCTTTCTGCTTCTTTTTATATATGTATACGTACATATAATTCATAATTTTAATTTTTATAGCTTCATTTTCATAGATTTTCACTTGTTCCCCCCTTTTTTTTCCCATTTAGGAGATTTTACCCTTTTATTTTTCAATTATTGTGATTATGGTCTTTTAATTAAGACAGCAATTTCTACTGTCTTAATTAAAGTACTATTAATGTAAAGAATCTGCCCTTTCAAGTAAGTGTTATATAATTTTCTGTAAAGATTTTAACCATTTGAACATAAAGAATATTTCTTTAATAAACTATAATATCAATATGATAATAATGATTTTACTGATATTAAAATAGTTAATCTTTGAAAATAAACTTCATCCTTTCCAGAGTAAAACACAGTACCTTTGAATAATTGATTCAATATACTCACTGTTACATTGCAAAAGCATCTGGGAGGAGGATCTTAATTCTTTACATTCTTTCCCAAATATAAAGGCATTCAGGGAAAGAGGGAGATGATCCCCAATCAACCTGTACAAGTTTGTGACATATTACCAATTATGATTTTAGTTTAGGTACTAGTTTCAGAGGCAGAAATAGATCCACAATTAGGAACCTGGTGAAGAATAATTGTCTATGTCTGTTTGTCTAGAGTCAGAACTTTCAATTACTGGCTTATTGTGCTATTACATTACAAGATCACATGGAAAGAATTTTTTATTCATTATTATTAAAACTAATTCTGTAATAGAAGTCTATAAACTACTTAGTGAATGGGGAATTAATGAAATCATCCATCTTTCATTGACTCCTAACTGTAAAGATGTGAAATTTCTCTTCTAAAACTTTTCAAACTAATAATATGTCATATCTTCTGACTAGACTCTAAATAATGCATCCTTTTTTTTCTGATTGCCACTGACTAGACTTTTAAATTATTGTGTTGAACAGGAACTTGATTTTAGAAGTGAAACGTCACTTTTAATTAATCTGTATCTTTTGTACTTGATGTTCTAATAAACAGATTTGATTTGTAGAATTGTAAAAATTCTATGTTGATATCCTATTTATTTTTTGTATTAAATTTTGCATAAAGACATGCAAGATATAAACATATGAAATTAATATAAAAAATATCAATTCCTTATTTGTCAAATTACTTAAAGACAAAATATAAATGTATTATAAAAGGATGTGATTATATTATATAAATTATAATATAGCTTAGAACTGTGGCTTGAAACTGGCAGCCTCCAAAGCATTTTTATGTAACCTCCGAATATTACATTAGTAATTATGTTAATTAGTTATTACATCAGCCATACATTTATTGTAAGTATTGTGTGAAAAATTTGCATATGGATAATGTTAGTGAAACAATAATTTACACAGTAAACTGAATTTGTAGACAAGCTCTGAATCATTGAGTTTGTTTTGTTGTACTGCTTGAAGAAATTGAAAATGAGTATAGGGAAATAATATACTAGTATAATGTGGTAAAGTAGGTATGGTGAGGAGCAGCTGCATTAAAACAATTTTTTGATTTAATAACTGACGTCAAAATCTTCATGACACATAAGTAAATAAATAAAATCATCGATGGGGTACTTAATAATACATGGATAAGATTAAGCTTTTCCGAAATTAATCAGACATTTAAATATTCTAAATAAAGCAATGCAAGGAAGGAATAAACTTATCACCAACACAGAAAGATGTATTGCTTTGGATTATTTGTAGTATTTCACATTATTTTTATTATCATTAGTAAAATGTTTATTTATGTTAATGAACCCATTTTAAAATTTAGGGAAGCTTGTTCTCTGAACACATTGAGGAAAGAGAAAATTACTTGAATATTTTTTTTTTAAGATTAAGATTTTCAGAACCTTGCACTAAAAAGCTAACTGAAAAAAAAATACATAAGGAAATATGATATATCTTACAAGATAAAAATTTAATTTAAATTTTAGACCCATTAATCTCATTTTCAATAAGGAAACTCTCCTTATATCTGATTTTATCACATGCTGTGCCTGTTTTTGTTTCAATTAAAATTGAACATGTGATGATTAATTGGTGTCATCTTTGGGAAATGCTTAAGTTACTGAAAAATTGCTAATAACTAGTAATATAGTGTAATATTAATATCCTTTATGAAGAAAATCAATATTTGCTTTCAAAATCTTAAATTGAAATCTTCCATTTTCTGTTATTTTCCTTTGCTTCATGAATGTTATTCTCAGCTTCTCTTCTTTCATTACGACTGTTAAATACTGTAAAAATGTCAGTGTTTGCTTGAAATAATTGCACAGCAGATGCCCTTGCCCAAGCACTTATATATCTTTTAAATTTGTGAATGATGTTTGATTAAAAATGATCATCTTAACTCTACAAATATATATTTATTAGAAGAAAAAAGCATAACGCATTTAGTATTGACTTTTTCTTTTCTACCTCATCATTCTTGTTATTACTTATACAGTACAAAGTCCAAGATAAAAAGTCACCAGACTTTAGTGATTCCAGATAGTTCCAGATTTTAGATCATCAATTTAAATTTAGTAAGATGACATGTGACATGGGAACATTGGAGCTTCCTACACTGTTCAGGTCAGATAGAAAAATGCTAGCCTTCCCCCATAACCACTAAAGGCAAACATCAGTACTCTTGGCAAGCATCAGTTATAATGACAATCAGTGTGTTGTCTTGTCCATGGTGCCTTTTTTTCTAGCCAGCAGGTGTTTGAATGTGACATGCAGGAATATCAGTTAGTCTAGAAAAAAATCCCATCACATCTGTTTACTGTTATTCAGGAAGCAGGTGTTTTAATCAATATTCTCCATCCCTAGATATTTTTCCTTGGCTGGTAGTCTGAATTTTGGACTTTGTACTGTATAGGTCAGAGATGAGGAACCTTTTTACTATTAGAAGCCACATTTAAATTAGGCAGTAATAAAGGAGGCCACATGAGTTGATATACCTATAAATGAGACTTTTGTAAAATTATTATAGTTTTTATCAATTTATTAATTATACAAAAATAATACAAAAAATGAAATCATTTATTTATTGTTTAACATAAAACTTTACAACATAATACATTTACTATTTTTAATAAACAACTACAAATATTTAAATACCACTTAAAATAAAAATAATAAAGTATATTTAAATAAATTTATTACATTATTATTATTATTTTTTACCAATGACAGGCCCTCAGCCAATTTTGCCTTGGCCACTACTAAGGTCAGAAGTGGTGATCAGTTTATTATGGAGACACCTAACAGGTGGGCCACCTTTGCCTCCTATGAAGGGACGGACAATTGCAGCCATGCCTTCTCCGGGATTCAAACCCAGGTCCTTTAGTATCGCAGTCAGCTCCCCTAGCCACTATACAGTCTGGGCGGCTTTTATTACACTATAAAGAAGTACAATAGAAAAATAATAATATTAAGTTATAAAAAAACTTACATAGCAATATGTGTGAAAATTTAATTTAGTAGGATATTTGGATTTATTTCTTGCTTGAAAGCAATTGAATATTTGGATCAAGCTTCATAATGTGCAGTTTTAACTGATCCTCTAAATGAGAATCTGTAATTAGCATTCTTAAGCTAGTTTTAATTTTTGTCATGAGAGAAAATGCTGACTTGCAGCAGCAAGTATATCCAAAGTAGAAGAGTAAATTATGTGCATGCTTTCGTAGGCATGGATATTCAACAGTACTTTTTTAGATTTTATGGGATTTATTTTAGTATCAAGAAAGGATTTGAAGGTACTATCTTCTCCTTGCTTAAATAACTCCATTCGTAGTTCTGTAGGAGCCTTGGTTATGTCTACTAAATGTGGAACAAATAATTTCATAGTAGAAGTTCATCAAATTTTTGAAAAATCTTTCAGTATATTTTTCTATTAAAAAATCCAAGATACCTAAATATTCATCGAATGTTCTATTATCAGATTTCTACTCATTTAGCATGTTTGCTAGCTCCAGGAAGTGTTCTACAGATATATCGGAGCAAAACAGAAATGTTTTGAAAAATGTTAATTTTTTTCAAAATGTTTGGATCATTTGCCACATTTCATAGATATGCTTTATTTTACCTTGTAGGCAATATTTAAATTGTTTTGGTTTGTCATGATCTCAGATAAAAACACAATGTTTCTGCAAAATGTTTCATTTGTTAGATCACATAGATTTCCTTGATAAAAATTTATAATTTTTATTTTGATAAAAAATTTTAAAACCTGTCCTGTTGATAGCCAATAAACCTTGCAGTAGTTATGGTAGATCAACGTTTATGTTTCCTCATCTATATTTAGCATCTGCTTAAATTCACAATGATGCATTTTATTCCTTCTTTTTTCTTTTGATGGAAGGTGCATAATTGGAGCATATGCTTACTAAATTACTGACATTTAATTGTAATCGATGAGATACTTCTCTGAAGTTTACAAAAATGTCAATTCCACGAGTTCTTTCAGTTAATGTACCCAGTACAAGTTCTTTTAACACTGAAAGTTTTCAGTTACAGACGAACAAAATATAAAACTTGAGCCAAGTCAGTTTTATCGGTGATTTCATTTAAAGCAATTGAAAAATAAACATCTTCATTTTGCATAATTGTACCAAGTTGCACTGTTATGAGCTAATTTGTGCGGTTCATCTGTTATAGTTCTTCTTGAAAGAGGCAACTGCTTGTATTTATTAACTTTTTGTGGATCTAATATACCCACCCCTTCAACAATACATTCTTTAGTTATTTCTGTATTACAAAATGGTTTTCCTCTTTTCTCAATGTATATCAT